TCCGGTATCTATAAATAGAGAAAATATGTCTTACCAGTAACTGCGATGCAGTTTACTCCACTGCTACTGACATTTCCAAACACAGTGAAGAGAGTGAAATTGTATCTGGTTCCACTGGTCAAATCTAACACTCTGTATTCTTTTTCAGAATTACTAATATTGATCTTGCTCCCATTAAATGCAAGAATGTAATTGTCGATGTTGGGGACTGTTTTCCACTCCAGAGTTATGCTGGTCTCATCTTGTCCATTTTTCTTAAAGTCGTCAGCATTACGAGGAGCTAGAATAGAAAAACGCACAAAGAAGAAACTGTAACAACATTTTCTGTCAGAAACAGAAACATGGAGCGAGGCTTCAGTTTCAGTATTTTTATCTGTCCTTTTGAAAAATATTAGGTGAGCTACACTCTTCTGTTTCTGAGAAACCTTAAACATCATTATAGAGCTCTGCCCTTGTTCATGTTGTAGAGGAGCATCAACTGTGGAACATTTTAAAGGACTATGACTGTTTTAGATGTTTTTAATCTGTTAACCTCCACCAGGTTAGCAGTAAGCAGTCTAGGATTATAGGTCGGGTTAGTATTTGACATATTCAAATTGGAAAATTTGACAAATGTTTATGTTATTATTCTGTAGGATGTATTCTGGGATGTTTTTAACCTTGTTCCACTCCAGTGGTATACTCATCTCATTTTGATGCACCACAGTCACATTATTAACACTTTGTGGAGCTAAAGATAACAGAGGAAAGTGGCTTTGATTAAAAACAACACACAAAAAACAACAACAACTCTCCATCAGCAAAGTTTCAAGTACTAATGAGCCGGTCCATCCTGGTTTATCTATCTATGTTAGAGAAAATATATCTTACCAGTACTGCGATGCAGTTTACTCCACTGCTTCTGACATTTCCAAACACAGTGAAGAGAGTGAAATTGTATCTGGTTCCACTGGTCAAATCTAACACTCTGTATTCGTTTTAGAATTACTAATATTGATCTTGCTCCCATTAAACGCAAGAATAGTAATTGTCGATGTTGGGGACTGTTTTCCACTCCAGAGTTATGCTGGTCTCATTTTGTCCATTTTTCTTAAATTCTTCATGTATTACGAGGAGCTAGAATAGAAAAACACAAAAAGAAGAAACTGTAACAACATTTTCTGTCAGAAACAGAAACATGGAGCGAGGCTTCAGTTTCAGTATTTTTATCATGTCCTTTTGAAAAATATTAGGTGAGCTACACTCTTCTGTTTCTGAGAAACCTTAAACATCATTATAGAGCTCTGCCCTTGTTCATGTTGTAGAGGAGCATCAACTGTGGAACATTTTAAAGGACTATGACTGTTTTAGATGTTTTTAATCTGTTAACCTCCACCAGGTTAGCAGTAAGCAGTCTAGGATTATAGGTCGGGTTAGTATTTGACATATTCAAATTGGAAAATTTGACAAATGTTTATGTTATTATTCTGTAGGATGTATTCTGGGATGTTTTTAACCTTGTCCACTCCAGTGGTATACTCATCTCATTTTGATGCACCACAGTTCACATTATTAACACTTTGTGGACATGTGTTTTACCTATACTATAACACTATTGAGCCTAGCTGATGCTCTCCGATACATTGTATAACATGACGCCGATATTTTAGTCCACAAGAGCTGATTTAAAAACATCACAAAAAACACACAACAACTCTCTGCATCTAGCTAATAAAGTTTCATAGCATGGTGTCACTAATTAGGTACACCCGGGGTACCATTCTCAAAGCACTGCTAATAATGGCAGTATCCATAGTGTGAGATGCCAATATATCTTTATAACCAGTGGTACTGCGATGAGCAGTGTGACCTACTCCACTGGCGTTACATAGACAAAATTTCATCCAAAGCACAAGATGTTCGAGAATAACCCGTGAAATTGATAATACACTGTTGTATACACACATACTCCTGCAAGCATACATTAATACCCAATCAACTTAGCATCTTCATGTTATTTACTTACTCATCTAGCCACATAGAACAACTTCACTAAATGACGCGTCATATCGACTCTTCGCTCGTACCCATTTACAATGCCCACAAGACATAAATGACATACTCGTAATTAGAATCTCGTCTTATACCATTCTTTAAGACGGTGAGTCTGTTGTATTGCTATCACCACCCATAGAAGCGTCATACATTCCTATAAATGCATGTGCTCATCATCGACATCTCGATTCTCCTTCTGATCTCCATATTTTCATTATAACTTCCCATCCTCGCAATGTGTCCTACGAAGTCTGCACAGATAGAATAACACAAAAAGAAGACACTGCTAACAACAAGTGTATCCCAGAGCTCAAAATCATTGCGCATTTTAGGTAATTTGTATGTGAGCATCTAGTAACATAGAGACATTCTCTAGATATGCTTCAAGGGCCTGCTCCACTAGGAGCGCTGTTGCCACAGCATAGCCTATCTAGCGATCCCATCTCGATGCTTGGACCATGTCACACTCTAGTACGGGGCGACTAAGAGAGTGCGACAGATAATGGATAGATTAGTTATGTCTGCCAACCAGCGAGTCAGAGCACAAGTGTGACCTCCATGGTATCTTAGGGGCCTCATTCGAAGATTGTTATTGATTATCTTTATCTCAGATTTCTATTCTATGCTTATGCTTCTATATTCTATATTTCCTGACGGCTACGCGCATGCGATTGAATGCTGAGGATGTGTTAACCTACTGGATCTTTCACACGTAGCAGAAGATATAATTGTGATACAACTGTTCTAGACGAAGTTATGTGCTCAGCAGTGGTCCATCATCGCTCTACATGACGATGGGATCTGGAAAACCAGATGGAGATACCCTTTCTCTCTTGCTTCCGATGCCTGATAGCCAGTATCGATTTCCGTACTCCGTGACATTATAAAATGGCGAGAAACCAAAGAGAAGTGTACCCAAATAATTTATGGTAATTCCCAGTAGAATCTGAAAAATATTCAGGTGGTAAAGATATACAGATATTGGAATCCTGCACAGTGGTAAACCCGCAGAATACCTCCAGCTTTCATACCTTCGACACTGTGTCTGAATATGTCCAGATGCTGTCGAGCGAGAGTGACTGATGTCGGTGCTCGCATGTTATCTAGTGGGTATAAGACTACTAATATATGCTCCTATAATGAACAACAGTCAGAAACATTCACTATAAGCCAAAACTTAATGGCACACGGTGCTACAGATAGTACCCTGTTTTATGCCTGTGATGGAGATGGTTGGTTTGCCGGTATTTTTTTGTGGTGTGTTTCTTCTTTAATCAAAGCCACTTTCTCTTCTGTTTATCCTTAGCCACATAATAGTTAATAATGACTATGGATTGGATTCCATAATATAATTGCAGAGCGCTAGCAGTTATCTTAATCCGGGCTGTTCTATACAATATATGTGACACATTAATAATACGAGTGATCCAAAGAAGACTCTAAGTTGTAGGTAAGTAACAATCTGTTATTAAGACCTATCTGTGAATGTCATGGAGTTTTTACCTAGTTATTCTCTATCCTTACCATGTAAGACATACTTCTTTGTGTCCGTTCTCAAGTTTTATACAGGCAATATCAAGAATTATGCGGTCAACACCTTACTATACCCGACCGTGGTCTGCACAAAAATGCCAACCGTACTATAAACTAAGTGTCAACATGTGTTTCAAAATGAAAAAGTCCAGAAATTCCTTCATGCCGTTTTCAAACAAGATTTTGATTCTGTTCCTGTTAGTCTTCTGTACACGTAACACCTAGTATGTGGTTCACAAAATCCAGTTTAACTATAGATGCTTTAAAATACATACAATGAAGCCATTATGTATTATAAGGAATCATGCTCACTTGGCGGTCTTTTGACTGCACTGTTTCCTTTTGTCGAGGGTAACCTACACTGAGCTTCGCTATCTGATCACCATCAAAGTGAAAGGTAAAAAAAACTTACCCAAAGTAGACTCAGGAAGACACAGAGCAACAAGTGGTCTGAGATAAGAGATAAAAGCTTCATCGTCTTCAGGACTCCTAACTGGCACACATACTTTGAACTTGTTCAATTCCTTTGTTTTCCCCGGATAACCTTGTAGCTGCTATTTTCAGCACCTCTGCTGGTATGTTGACAAAAACCACACTTAAGCTTGGCAAAGAATTTCTCTGACCTGCACTATGATAACTTTAATTCAAAGTTGTTGACTTTTAATTCTTAGCTACATCCTCCTCTCGTAACCTCTGGTCCCTTTTCATATTGGCAAGTGACTAAGTAAATAACTGCTTCTCCTTTCTGGCCTTGTACAACTACAGAGACCTTTGCCCCGCCTGTTACTTCCTTATTAACGGTCATGCTGTGCTGCTTGTCAAAGGTACGTCAATCAAGAGCATTTGCCTCTCTTACATGTTTATTGGAGGTAATTGCTGCATATCAGCTGCTATTTATCTGTTCATGCTTGTGGCCGCTTGTGTGCCTTTATTATGGGCAAATAAAAGATGAGACGTTTTTGTTTATGATCACAGGTAAAGTTGTGAACTGCTACTTTGAATAAATAATATTTTTGTTGTTTTATTTTAAGAATTTCCAGTTTTTTTAAGGTTTTAAGTAAAATCACTGTTTAGGTTCCTCCGCTGATTGCTTTCACAGCAGAGTGGATCTCCTTCTTGTGTCTTAGCACTGTCTCAGAAAGTTGTGATATTTATAGCTTCCTTGTGGTTGATCTCAATAAGGAACTGCGAACAGAAACTTACCCTCATACTGTTAACTGCGCACAAAGTCACAACAGTCTTTATGGTGTTATATTTTGAGTAGCGCTCAATAAAAGTGCTGATATTTCAAAGAAAATTGTTGTCCACTGTGGAAACATGATGGGGAAGTTAGGATTCATATATGATAATAGTTTTCCTCATCTGTTAATATGGAGTCATTTCAATTTTTGAGCTTCCGTGTTATACTGAGGATAAAGATAGCTCTTTTTAAACAAGTGCATGCATTGACTATTCATAGTTAAATAACAGTATTTTATTATGTAGGGAGCTTTCAGCACAATCATTTGCATGTTATTAAGACTTGTGAAAGTCTTAAAAACAAATGCACTTCTGTTTAGCATGGTGCTTGAGTTTCATGACGCTTTTGCAAACCACATTCTGCAGCTTTCCTTTAATATAAGTGGTGGCAGTGCTCTTCTACCACAATTAGAGCAGCCTATTCTGTTACAATAGTTTGAATGGCAATAAATGTGTCACCTGCATATGCTATCGTGACAAGCCTCACTGAATCTACTTCTCAAATCTTTCAGCCCTAACCGCATACAATAGATGCAACTTTTTACCTCTCTGTGTGAACACTTATATGCTGGCCTTTGTTTCACTGCAGGAGGATAAAGTTTTCATGATGATGGTGAAGACTACCATCAAACACATCAGTGAAAAGCTCTAATCTCCCTCAGTGTAGGGATCAAAGCTGCACTGGAACAGCTTCACAGAAAGTACTAGAACTTTGCTCATCTTCCTTGTTCAAATCACATCCTAAAAGAGAATCGGGAAATATTTTCAAACCACATCCCTTGTTCCAGTAACTGGAAGAGATAGTTGCCATGGTAAAGTAATAAATAGCATATATTATGGCTCCTAAAACCACAAACGCATTTATCAGAACTCTACCCTTAACTGTAGGGGGGGGGGGGGAAGCAATGCATGTTTAATGTTGTGAAATATGTTTACTATCTTTAATTGTTTTAGCCGGTGATCACATTGGTAATTGATTTACAGAAAACAAATATACTCACTTGTACAGTTTAGACTTGGTTCAGTTTAGAGCACTCTCAAGCCATTGTTCTCAGAACACAAAAAAACAATGTGTGTACAGCACTTTCCTCAGTGCCACCACGCTGTGACTAACTGAAGTTGTCCAACACAAAATTGCTAGCTGCTGGAATGTGTGCCTGATCTGTTGCTGCAGTCTTGGATGTCCGTGAGAGAACCACCTCTAATGCAACTATTCTTGGTGGAAATCTAACTAGACAGAGATACCCAGATTAGTACTCCAACCTGTACTTTAACCATTGTTGAATCAGCACCCAGGCCCAAGCTGAAACAGAGAGACACAAGACAAGGGGATCTGGGACAAAGAAAACACTTAGCATATTAGCTTAACTACATGTTTGGTGTGTTTGGATGCCAGGGAATCAATTGCAGTGTATTGTGCAGGGGTATATTAAGAAAACAAATAATCTAGTGAAAACAAAAGTAAAGCTGTAATAAAAGGAAAGCCAGAAAAATATGCCAGGTGCATGGAATAACACAACTGTATATAAATAATCCAAAGAGAGACGTGTCCCGTTTCAATACAGTGGTTTGCAGCAATGAAAGAATGGGGAAACATAAAAATAGAAGTTGTAAAGTTGTAAAGTGTACAGAGAAGGGGAAAAAATTAAAAATAAAGACAGGAAGTGTAGAACAGACGTATAGAAAAAACCTCAAGCCATCAAGTATTTGTATAAAAAAATTATAATAACTTCTGCTTTCTCTCTCTCGCTCCCTCTCTCTCTTCCATTGTGCTCAGGTTAAAGCCTCTGCAGGAATCATTCCGACCACAGGGGCGGCGCTGCACTTCAGTGTATCTCTGCCATACAACGACGACGAAGAAGCAGAACCGGACGCTACTTGTGGCGTAAACAATAAACAATTTTGTGCTGGGAAGATAGTGACATTGCGGTCACGTTGGTGTCACAATAAAAGGTAGGTAACAAAATGGTAGGGTGACACTGACCCGGAATAGATTTATAAAACTTTATTCATAGTCTGGCGTATCTTACGGTATATTAACAAGCACTAAATTGCTGCAAACGTAGCTAAAGTTAGCTAAACTGCACCCTGATAGCATCAGCAGGTATTTCTTGTTTAAGTGGGTACAAAAAGTGGTGTTTAACCGAGCAACAGTCTTAATAACATGTACTAACGTAACAACCACCTGAACCCAATCGTTTGATGACACACGGCGGCAGTGGGGCAGGTGTTTCTCTGAGCTCTTAAATATCAGTTGCAATGTGTTGCTGGCTGATAAATACGTGCTTCGCTAAAACGAGCGCATTTCACACGGAACGTCTTTGCTAGTTTGAACCCGAGGAAGAGGCGGTAGGCGATATTTAACTTTCTTTTGGGCTTACTTCTAACACGAAGGAGAAATCACTTATTGTTGGCACTTGTCTCTATTGTTCTTTCTGTCTTTTAAGCACAACACTAGCTGCATTCGTTGGTTTCTTTTTCTGTGTTGTAGACATGCAGTCTGCGGTGAAACAAAACTTTCATGCAGAAACTGAAGGAGATGTCAACAAATTGATCAACCTGAAGTTAAATGCATCCTACGCCTACCTTGCCCTGGTATGATTCTTGTAATTGTAACACTAATACCTAGCAGTATAGTACCTGTATGTCTCATAATCTGTACTATATATTTCTAGATATCATTATTGTTTTTTGTTTTGTTTCTCTTTTTTAGGGTATGTATTTCGACAGGGATGATGTTGCTTTGCCAAACTTCTCCAGTTTTTTCCTGGAGCGTTCAGCCAAAGAGAGGGAACAGGCTGAGAAGCTGCTGGAATACCAGAACATGAGAGGCGGACGAATTTTGCTTCAGAACATCTCTGTACGTCCCAAATGTTATGGGTGTCCTTTTAAAGATGTTGTTGAGATGGGTGTATTTGTTGGTACACACTACCTTTTTTTTTTTTTTTTTTTTTCTTCTTCTTCCTCCAATAAAGTGTCAACATTTTGTTCTAGAAACCAAGTAAAGAAGACTGGAAGGGCGGTCTGGATGCAATGACCTTTTCCCTGGAATATCAGAAAACCTTAAATACACGTATCCTTGATGTGCACCGCAGAGCTGGCAGCCATACTGATCCCCATGTATGTCTGGGTTTTTTGTTTAGTTTTTTAAATATCTAAATATAATTCTTGTGCTATTAACACAAGAAGTATATTTGGTCTAGAATATTTGCGAGTGTCATAGTATGAATTATTTTACCACTTACTCATCTAACTTCTCTTGTAGCTGTGTGACTTCCTCGAGCAGCACTTCCTCGTCGACAGCCATGACACCATCAAGAAGCTGGGCGACTACATTGGCAGTCTCACCCGCATCACTGCGTCTGAAACGACCGGTGCTATGGGAGAATACCTCTTTGACAAGCACACTCTGTAAAAGGTCCTGGGAGAACAGTGAAAAAGGTCCACATTTCAAAATATACAGAGATAGGCAAAGGCAATAATCCACACTGTACGTCCTTTCCCATTAAAACTTTACAAAATTGTTACAGTCAACCACAGGTATTATCCAATTGCACTAGACCAAGTTAAATCGAAATGCCTCAGTTTTTCTTATAAAGAAAAGAAATTCAAATGTGTTGGGGAAATTGTTCTCATAAATGTGGTGCTAAACACTACCGTTTTTCTAAGCTGTTACAATGAGTAACTTGTTCATGTGGATTCCGTTTTTTTATCATGTGTGAAACCTTCCATTGTCATGTTTCAACCCACAGAACATTTTTATAAATGAACAATTTTTGAAGAAGGAAAAACAAATGGACATTTCAAACATTCAATAAAGTCTCATTATGCTGAAAAATCTCTTGTTTGTCTTTAAAAGTCAGGTTCGTGTGTGTAACTGTTATTTTCAGTTGCTCTGACAGGTAGTTATCTGACTCGTCACAATGTCTGAGCACATTATCTAGGTCACGTCTGCACGAGATAACAGTGGGCACATGCTTACTCCCAGTTGGGTGGTGCTAATGCTGGGCTGCTGGAGAGTTTGTGGTTAACGATTTCCAAGCTGCTTCTTGGTTAATTATCTGACAGCAAAGATAAGTCATGTGACTTACGTCAGAGTGGATCCCACACAGGCATGGGTCTTAGGCTACGTCCACACCTCAACAGGTATTTTTGAAAACTGAGCTTTTTCTATGCTTTTGAGCCTTTAGTCCACACAAACTGCATTTTTGATCACTGAATACTGATATTTTTAAATACTCCTGCCATGGTGAAGATTTTCGAAAAACTGTTTTTGCGTTTAGGTGTGGACGAGGAAAACAGACTTAGTCACGTAATGCCAAAGGTGTGCACCTTGACGTCATGCTGTGCGCCACATTATTGTTTACATGAGATGAATTTCTACAGTGGCGGATATGGACAAAATGCTGTTGCTCTTACTATCTGCAGTTTTTACATGGTTACATATGCATACTCAATTACTGTCACTCCATTTAAAAAGACAGAGGCATTAGAGTGAACTTCTCCATTTAACAGACGCTCTCAAAACACAAATCCCAACGTTGTCTTTGGGTTTGAATATTTTTTTAATTAAATTTATGCATGCTGTATGCATTTTGTTCATTCCTAAGTTGTGAGTCTACACAACAGCTAAAATACAGTCTTTGGTTATTAACATTTGAAATTATGAAGGCACTTGAAAAGTAACACAAAATTAGTTGCCTTTCCAGAAAAACAAAAAGAAGTACTCAAGATTTGCATAAAACCCTGTTTACTCTTTTCCTCCCAGGCTTCTAGACTTCTGATTGGCCATTTCTACACGGTTAGGATTTGGCATGTTCTTCACAGTGTTTGACTGCGTCTTTTGGTGTTTACATGTGGACTGAGGTATTTTTTTCAAAACCACATGTGGATAGAATTTCTTTTAAACTAAAATGGAAAATTTTTCTTTTCAAAAATACCCGTGTACGTGTGGACGTAGCCTTACTCTGTTCAAGTGTCATTTTGGTTCTAGTGGTTTGAGGTAGAACACTTGACAGATTAAGAAACCACAAGGGTTTGCACAGATTTTCCCAGGTTTTCACCAAGTGTGAAAACATTCGTAACTTGTGTTTGTGTGGTTTAATGTATTGCAGCATAAAATGTATTTTTTATTAATAAAATATCCTGAAATGCAGAGTTCTTTTAAGTGCCCGCCCTAACTCTATGTAAGGCAATTATGTCATGCTCATCTGT